GGCTCTGGGCTGATGGCTCAGAGCCTGGAGCCTGTTTCCGATTCTGTGTCTCCCTCTCTCTCTGCCCCTCCCCCGTTCATGCTCTGTCTCTCTCTGTCCCAAAAATAAATAAACGTTTAAAAAAAAAAAAAAAATTCAGTAAACTTTTCTTGTGACTAAAGCTCTAAGTGTATAAAATATTTTTCTTCTGGAATGAATTACCATTAAAATAATTAGAAATGCTAAGTTGACAAAAGGATATAATTTCTTGTTATTCTCTAAATGAGCTGGTTTGGTTTTTTGCATTAGCATGTATCTGTAGATGAAAATATGTGATTTACTGATAAAATATGATAGGATTCAGCATCAGTTTTATTCCTGTGTTTTGGTCTTTTATAGATGTGATCCCTGAGAAGCCTGGTTCATATAAAAAGAAATAGAAATGAATAATCTTGTCATAGTAATGTTGTCAAGTTTTTTATTCCTTCCAAGTTATGTGTCCCAAATCACACTGATCTATTGTCAAAAATTATTTTTTTGTTACTTTTTGTTCAAAGCAAAGGAAAATCACCTGACTTGCAAAGGACGCAACTCAGCCATATTAAAGAAGTTTCTCAAAAAGTTCCTTACTATGATAATCCATAATTATTAGACTTTTTGGAAGTGGCCTGTTTTAGGACCATAGCACCTAGTTAACATTCGAACAATTATTTATAATATTTCTTAAGATACTTACGCTGAAAAGCATTTGAAACTGTGGTAGGTTTTCTATAAAGTGTAAGAAACTACTGAAGTACTTGAATTTGTCCATACAGATTTAAAACACTAGCAGTAATAAAATGCTATAAACTGTATATCTAACATTAATTTGGATTGAGCAACCATCACTTTTATTAACATTTCTCACATATTTATTTTAATGGATCTATTGAAAGTAGCACTTGGTACAGTACAAAATACATTTGCTTATCTTTTAAACCATTAAACTATTTGTTGCCCTTTTTTGGCTGATGTGCTTATTATTAAATATGGTCACTGGAAGCCAAGAGAATATGGGTCAAAAGACTAGTTCCTTGGGTATTTCCAGACGTTTTTGGTTAAGGCTTGTTTTGCTCTCTTGGATCTCCCCAGATCTTTGGTTTTTACTTTAATTTATTAAATGTATTTTCTGTACTGAGATCTCTTTTTAATTTTTTTATTTAGTAATCTATATCTTAAGCATTTCACAGTGCCTGTGTAAAAATAATAAAACTCTAATGGGATGATATAGAATAAAGGAGACTGATCAGTTACCAAAAAAAGGTTCCCCAAAAAAAGTTTTTACCAAGGGGTGCCTGAGTGGCTTAGTCAGTTAAGCATCCCACTTCAGCTTAGGTCATGATCTCATGGTTTGTGAGTCTGAGCCCCACATCAGGCTCAAACTGTCAGTGCAGACCCTGCTTCCTAGACCTCGGTCTCCTTCTCTCTCTGCCCATTCCCATCTCACTCTCTCTCAAAAATAAGTAAACTTTTTTTTTTTTTTTTTAAAGGCTTGTGGTGCCTGGGTCGGTTAAGCAGCTGACTCTTGTGTTCGGCTCAGGTCATAATCTCATGGTTTAGTGAGTTTGAGCCTGACAGTCGCTCGGCGCCAACAGTGTAGAGCCTGCTTGGGATTCTCAGTCTTCCCTCTGTCTCTGACCCTCCCCCACTTGTGCAGTCTCTGTCTCTCTCAAAATAAATAAATTTTAAAAAATAAAAACACATTTTTAAGGCTTTACTAAGACTTATCAAGTGAAAATTATACTTGTAATTCTTTCATTTAGTTACATGTTTAGACCACAACACTCAAAACAGTTGGGGACACCTAGGTGTTGCTTATTTCATTACAGCTTTGCTAATACAACATTTTTTGACAAAAAGACATAGTTTATGTGTACTTCAAATCCAGTTTCATTGAAAACATGGAGCTACAGTTTTGGCCTATTTAATTTATGGCACATGTCCATCAAGTTAATGGTATATCCTAGGGAGGAGTATTGAGACTGGATGAGAATAATTACATGTATTTGTAGGGGAAAATTTATCACTTTCTAAATTTGGGATACCCATTAGAGAGCTAGAGACCTTCCCTCTCCCCCAAGACTAGGTTTCCTTAACTAAGTACAATAAAGCAATGAGAGATTGGAAGCTCTTCATGTTTTGGATGATTTGATGAATTATCAAAGAAGGCTTCACCTCCATTTGGTGTGTGGGACTTTGTGGACCCCAGGTCAATGCATAAAAAGGAAGATGTGGGATAGGGAGGGAATCTGTATCCAGGGCACAGAGGTTCAAGAGCACTGGCCTCCGGGGTTTCAAAACACACCAGGTTCGGCCACTCACCACTGACAAAATCCAAAGGCAGAGAGACAATGGGTGGTGAAGCAGAAAGGAATTTATTTCCATGATGCCAACACTGGGAAGACAGTGGACTAGCCTTTCAAAAGCGATTTACAAAGTGCTGAAAATACAGATTTGTGTAAGGAAAATGTGGGACAAAGGCCGGTGAGTACAGACAGGTGGACAGTAAAGGTCAAGTCTATCCTGGTCTTCGAGTCAGTCACGTGGGGTCTTGCTGGCTCAGGGCAGTCCTTATTGCCTGAGGGGGTGGTTTCTGAACGCAGCCTTCTGCCAGAGGTAACATAAGCTGGAAAGAACTTCAATTAGAAAGTACTAAGATCAGAACGGAGGTATTTGAAGCCCTCTTTCAAATCAGGTTGTCCTGTGGAACTGTCACACTTGAGCTGGAAACGGATTTCCTTCAAGCTCCTGGGCTTGCGTAGCCCTGCGCAGGAATCCTGGATATGTATTGTGATTAGAAGACCAGTGTGGTTTACAGAACTGGGTGTGGTACCTTCTTCAGCAGTAAATCTTTACAAATTGCTTCTATGTTTATTGCTCCACTCAGGGTTCTTCCCTCCTCTTAATGAGGTTTTACAATTTTTATTTCCTTTGCCAATCATCCAGTTCATTAAAGTTTTCGAATTTATAAATATAATACATAGGATTCTCTGAAAGTAATTCACGGTCATAATTCATTATGTAGTTCTTTTCAATTTAAGCTATACATGATGTGCTCTTTTAGCTATCTTTATGTTCATATTAATGACCGTGAAATAAAACAGCTATAAAAGATTAATATCACTATTAATTTATACAGATCAATAAGACAGTTCAGCGAGAAACGTAAAAGATTTAGCAGGCAAGTCACAGAATACTAGGAGAGGATAAACATGAAAAGCTACTTAACCTCATTGGTAATCAACAGCTGCAAACTAAAACAATACGACTCCCTCGCCCATCCAGTTGTCAAATATTTAAGACTAAATGTTGGCGTGGGTGAGGAGGGACGCGCGCGGCTCTGTTTTTTCTGCCAGGACTCGGTTAATAGCATGGAGTCTACATCTTTAATTTCCAGGATGACAGGTTTCTGGGTATTAGGGGGACATCTGGTAAACATTTGTCATGGATATCTGATACAGCCGACAAACCTTTTTTAACTCTCAAAACAAAGCGACGTTAATGGAGCTGAAATGGAAACGTAGCAGTTCTTTTGATTCTAACGGTTTTACCCACAAATGTAAAACTCGTAATTGTCCAGTAGCTGTGGGCAACAGTTGACGGGCAACAACGAGAATTTGAGTCTGGAACTGAGGGGCAGAGGCCTCCCCGAAGACACTTGGGCTGACACCATGGGACAAAAGAGCCGGTTCAGTTGGCCTTCTGAACAGGCTGAAGACGAGGGGAACTCGGGCAGAGGATGCAAAATGGCGCCCGTGAGCTTCGTGGGCGTGGCCTCTAGCTGGGCTCGTCCAATTGGAGTGTTCAGGGGCGGAACGCTTTCCCCCAGCTCGCCTTCTATCTTGGGTCGGGGCTTCCTGGAGTTTGCCCCCTTCCATTGGTCAAAAATGGAATACTGGGTGTGGGAAAGGCCAATCTCGGCAAGTCTTAGTAGGACGGTCGCCTTAGCAACGCGCGGAGCCGCCTGGGAAAGGTCTCGGGAAACTGACCCGCGGCTTAGGTGGCCCGGGTGCATCTATGACCTCCAGGGATCAGAGGCCGTTTGACTGCGAAACCCAGTTATCCGTCCTGCCGCACGTCCGTGCTCAGAACAGATTGCCTGGCCCCGCCTGGACGATCTTCCATCCATTGCCCTGCATCTAAAGTCCTCACCCGGGAACACACTCAGCCCACTAACGAAGCTGTCCCTGTTTGTGCCCCAACAGCTTCCAAGTGCCAGATGATGGAGGAGCGTGCCAACTTGATGCACATGATGAAACTCAGCGTCAAAGTCTTGCTCCAGTCTGCCCTGAGCCTGGGCCGCAGCCTGGATGCGGACCATGCCCCCTTGCAGCAATTCTTTGTAGTGATGGAGCACTGCCTCAAACACGGGCTGAAAGGTGAGCCTGAGGGGGGGCGTTCGGGGGCGTGGAAATTCGGGCTGGCTGTTTGCTCAGCAGGCATTCATCAGTGCCAAACATTGTTCTTGGTGCTTGGGATAACAGCAGTGTACAAAACCGACAAGCGTCCCTGCCCTCAATAAGTGACAGTTAGAGCAGCACTGTCTGGTAGGTCAGCTACATGTGCAATTTTTACTGTTCTGCTAGTCACGTTTAAAAAAAAAAAAAGTGAAAATAAACAGGTGAAATTAATTTTAAGAACATACTTTTTTGTCCGCAGTATATCCAAAATATGATTTTTACACACAATATTTAAAAGCCTTATTAATGAGATTTTTACATTATTCTTTTTTATACTAAGGCTTAAAAACCCACTGTGTTTTACATCGCGATTGCACTGGCTACACTTAAAGTGCTCAGTAGCACATGTGGCCACTGACTACGTCTGACAGCACAGTTCTAGAGGACCAGACAGTAAAGGCAGAAACAAACTTAATTACAAAATGCTACAAATTCAAGGAAGCAACATGGGTTTCTACTAGAGTGAGAGGGGAAGGCCTTGCTGGGGAACTATGAGCTGAGACCCAAAAGAGAGTTAGCCGTGCAGAGATTTGGGGCAAGAGCATTCCTGAGGGAGAAAAAAACAGGTGCAGAAGTCCTGAGTGAGACCAAGCTTGGTTTGAGGAAGATACCAGAGGGCTCAGAGGGAGAGTGCGGGGAGATGAGGTCAGGGAAATAGATTGGGGGGTGGGGGAAGGCTGGATGGTGTAGACCTTTATAGGTCATATGAGGAGTCGGATTTTATTCCAACTGTATCTGGAGGATTTTAAGCAAGGGAAAACATGACATGACTTACATTTTTAAAACAACTTCCACGTGTTTGAACAGATTGTAAGGGTGGGGAGTCGACCGTATTGGGAGCAAGAAGACCCATTAGAAGATTATTGGCAGCAGGTCAGATGAGGGATGGTGGGGATAATTTGAGCATTGATTTTGACATCAGGTAGGAGGGAGAAAGGGGAAGGCTTTCTACAAGCAATACAGATATGAGATACTTGTTTTATTTCATGGGCAGTAAATACTTGGAGTAAGAACCTAGTCGGGATATCAGAGAAACCCTGTCACCAGAGGAAGGGAGAGCTCGTTTGTTACCTGGCATCTGAGTCCCTGAGACTAAATCAGGATTAAGTGGTAGAGTCGTGCATTGTCTGTTTGGCTTTTGGGAGAGAGACAGTGGACACCTGAAGACATTTTGCAACCTGTTCTTATAAATAACACTTTTGTTTTCCCTTTTAGTCAAGAAGAGTTTTATTGGCCAAAATAAATCTTTCTTTGGTCCTTTGGAGCTGGTGGAGAAACTTTGTCCAGAAGCATCAGATATAGCCACCAGTGTCAGAAATCTGCCAGAATTAAAGTGAGTGAGAAGCAGTTACACTGACTTAATGTTAAAAACAAAAACAAAAACAAAAAAACCTTGTATTTACCCACTTCTCAACTACTTGCTGATAACACTTTTTCTAATTCAGAACAAATTGTAGCATGAGCCACACTCTACTTAAACTTTAGTTCCAGCCCTGATGCTCATAATTGTCAATATCTTCAGCAAGATTTGCCCCTCCCTGAGCCTCAGTTCCCTTATCTTTCAAATGGGGTTTGAAAGATTCCTGCTTGTCACACAAGGTCACGTAGTTTGAAGAGATGTGGTGGGGCACCTGGCTGGCTTAGTAGAGCATGCAACTCTTGAGTTCAAGCGCCATGTTGGGTGTAGCGATTACTTTAAAAAAGAAAAGGTGTTGTCACCTGAGGAGCGGTTACAGAAGTAAAAGGAGTCATCATTACACTCCTGGGAATCTGTGCTTCAGATACATCTGGGCACCTTTCTGAATAGTGTAGTTCGGGCCAGATTTTCAATTCTGGGACATGAGACATTTGTGAAAAGGTGAGACTGACAAATCATTTGCCATGTCTGGGTTTGCCTCAGGATTCCCCATGCATAGGCTCAAAATAAAAAACTGGACAGAATACAAACAAGGCATCATCATGAAATTTGGAACTAGAAAGGGACCTAGAGATCCCTGGGCCGATACAAAAGAGCACCCTGCAGTCTCCCAGAGGGGGACACGACTGTCCAGCCTCTGATGCTTCTCCCAAGGACCTAGCCTGTTCCATTTTGAGATAATGATAATAACCAGCATTCACTAAGGGCCTGCCATGTGCCAGGAGTTGTGCTAAGGACATTTCAGGATCTCATTTAATCCCTCTCAACAAGCCTCTGGGAAAGCTGTTGGAATCCCCACTGATAAGTACAGAAACTAAGACTGAGTAGCTAAGTAACCTGCCCAAGGTCCGTTGGCAAGTGAGTAGTAGAGCCAGGAAGAGAACACAGGTCTGCAGGACTCTGGAACCTTCTAAAGCCCATTGACCTCCATTGCTACAGAACCCTATGCATTCTTATCAAGATGAAATTTAAGCCTCTGTCCCTGTCCCTAGTTCAGTCCTCTGGGCTTGTACCACAGAAGGTGAAAGCCTTTTGTACATGACAACCTTCAAATCTGTATTTGGTGATCTGTCATGCACTTCCCTCGTCTTCTGCTTTGCTTCATACTTATGTGGTCCTGTTTGCCCACCCCTTCCGACCAGCTTACTCCCTCAGGAGTGAAGCAGCTAGACCAAGTCCCAGCGTGTTCAGGTCGGAGTAGAACAGTCCCTCCTACGCTCAGACCTCTGTTTCCAGTTATGCATGGGAGGCACTTTTGAAGCCTTATGCTAACAAAGAGCTCACTGTCAGCTAAACCCACTACTCTGTTCCCCTATTAACTCTGGCTGCTAAACAGGCTTAGGTACCAAAATCCTACCCTGTCTGCCAAAGAGGAAATATACAATAGTTCCCTTTCCTTGATGCCTCCGGGAGTAGCCTCACAGGGGGCTGCATGGGAAAGGACTTTTTTTTTTTTTTAACTATTTCATTAAATA